GAGCTGCGCCCCGTTAACGTAGGGCACCTCCGCAGAGCCCAGGGGCGTTTTGGGAGGCGGGTGGACCTTGAGCATCTCCGGGTGCTCGGGGGACACAAAATGCCCGTGGGCTTTGATGTGCTTGCGGAGGGAGCTGGGGTCGGTGTAGCGCTTGTGGCAGCCCGGCATCTTGCACGAGTAGGGCTTCTCCACGTAGTGCGTGCGGGTGTGCTTGAAGCGGTCGCTGGAGTTGGAGTAACGCTTGTTGCAGCCTTCGTAGGGGCAGATGTAGGGCTTCTCACCTGCGGGACAGCAGCACCGGGTCTGCCGGGGGCACCAGCCCTGCCGTGTCCCCGTGTCCCCATGTCCCCCCGAGCCCCAGCAGTGCAATGAGGGGGCTGCTGTGCTGACCTGTGTGCGAGCGGTTGTGGATTTTCAGGTTCTCCAGGCGGGAGAAGCTCTTGTTGCAGGTGGGGCAGCGATGCGGCTTCTCGTTGGTGTGCGTCCGGATGTGGATCAGCATCTTGTACCTGCCGGGATCGGGGCAATCACAGAGTCATGGAATGGGCTGGGCTGGGGAGACTTTAAATCTTGTATAATTCAAACACCCCCTGCCATGGGCAGGGACACTTTCCACTGTCCCAGGCCCTGTCCAGCCTGGCCTTGGGCACTGCCAGGGATCCAGGGGCAGCCACAGCTGCTCTGGGCACCCTGTGCCAGGGCTTGCCCACCCTCACAGGGAACAATTTCCTCCCAATATTCCATCTAAATTTCTCTTTAGTTTAAAACTGTTCATCCTTGTCCTATCACCATGTGCCACAGAAGCGTCAGGGAGGGAATGTTAGGGAGGGAGTCAGCCCTGCCTTCCAGGACCAGTCCCTGTCCCTGTGCCTTGGCTGTGGGGTGGGAGAACAGGGACATCCAGGCCAGCACAGTCACCCAGCGCCCCCAGGACCTCACACCCTGCCTGAGAGGGAGGGACAGATGGAAACGGAAACTTCCCCTGCACATCCCCAGGGCTGGGCTCCTCCTCCCCACAGAGCCCCCCCAGAGCTCCCCACGCCCACCTGGCATTGAAGCCCCTGCCATGGCGGGCACAGCCCTCCCAGTGGCAGCAGTACCCCGCGTCCTTCTCGGGTTTCACGTGGAAGTCGTTGACGTGGTCCACCAGGTCTTGCAGGAGGTCGAAGAACTGGTTGCACTGTGGGCAGGAGGCTGGGGGTGAGGGAGCCCAGCAGGGTGGGCACCAGGGGGGCCAATCCCCCCATCACAGCCAGCACCTGCCCCCACCCCATCCCAGCTCCCACCTGTGAGCAGCAGCAGCATTTGGGGAAATGGAAAAGGCCCTTTGCATGACCCCCAGCCCTGCATCACCCCCCAGCATCTCCGCACAGCACCCACCTCCCCAGCACCACCTTTCCAGCCCTAAAACTCACCCACAGCCCCAAAGAGCTCTGCCATGGCCTTCCAGCCCCATGTCCTCACCCCAGCCCCAACATCCCCCTGTGTGCCCCCCAT